CACATTGACTGAAATAAACAAACTAACGAACACATTATTTAAGTAAATTGTCCTGCTATGCACGTAGCTAAGCTAGTAGCATCTTAAGTTGTTGTGATGTGCGTTTTCTGACAGTCTGTCTGGCAAAACAAGCCACAGGTGTGATCAGGGCATCAGGTGATGATTCGATTGGCAGGTAGAGTGGAGGGCGTGTTGTGATGGCCATATCAGTCATGCTGCTCTGTTTGGTTGTGGGGGCATTGAAATAGCAAAATGATTGTACATTCAGCCTTTTCTGCTACTATTGAGCATACAGAGGGCAAAAACATCATGCAGGAGCTTTTATCAATGAACTTTGAACTCACACTTCACTCCTGCAGAGGATTCACCCTTTGACATTAAGTAGTCCCACACTGACACATGCAACTAAAGTAGCAATAAAGAACAACAAGCCAAAGGCTGTCAGAGATCTGCTCGCTGTCTGGTATCAATTAACTCTTTTCTGTCTCACATTGCCAATAACCCCCCGCCCCCCCCAAATGTGCAGTGACTGTGAGAGCTCTTGCAAAAACAACTTTTTTATTTTTTTTCGAGTCCGCCTGTTTGTAAAGTGAGCACACTTTGTCTTGCAGCAATGTGACCGCAGGCTGTCCAAGCCGCCATTTCCCCCCAGTGTTACTTAGTTTTCTATCCTAGTTTGTTTCCCTTGTGTGTTAATGTTTCCTAGTTTGGTCTTTAGTGTTTCCTGTTTTATTTTGTAATTTCTTTTCATTGTGTCTCTCTCTATGTTGTAGTGTGCGTTATTATTACATTCTTGAGTTCTCTGTGTGTCTTTAGTGTATTAGTCCCCATCGTTGTCTTTATTTCTGTCTCTGTGTGTTGATTGCCCTGATTTCCTTCACCTGTGTCTGATCTCTCTCTGTTGGTCTGTCTGCCTGTCTCTCTTGTTTTACCAGCCAATCAGAGATAGAGTAGGGTGGGTACTTGAGGGATGTGAATTATTTATTAGCCTTTTTATATAATCATGTTCTTTATACTTTTTTTTTTTGTATTTTGTAACATGTAGTTGCAATAGTGTGTGGCTTTTTCAATATAATTAAGGTTTGTATTCATGATTGATTTTGAATTAATCTGAGAGTTTTATGATCTTTATTATTATTATAAATGACATGAGTTTTATGATCTTTATTATTATAACATGACATGAGTTTTATGATCTTTATTATTATAACATGACATGAGTTTTATGATCTTTATTATTATTATAACATGACATGAGTGACGTGAGCGCTGAAACTCACCTGACGGTCCTTTAGCAGTCTGTTTCTACATGTCGGACATTCTTTGAAACACAGCTAAACTAAGTTCGACTGCTAGCCTGGTCCAGAGCAGACTTGTTCACCAGCATTAGTTTACCATGGTAACTCAGCGAGGATTCATATAAGCTACGTGGTGGAATGAAACTCCACTTAAATGAGCGGACTTATCGAAATAAGCAAGGATTGAATGAACACAGATTTCCCTTCAGTTAAATTTAGGATCTATGGGACGTTATTGATTCCCCTCATACAGTCAGATGGTTTATTCCACAGTTAAAGACAAACTCTAATTGATTGGTTTCCATGTTGGGGGACAGACCATGTCAAACAATAAATTCATCATTTCCTATTTCATCGATCTTTTATAGTTAGTTACAGTAAATGTGTTTCTGTGTAGTGTCTCATCCCAAAGTGATGTCAAACAAACAGAAAAGAATGCATCTTTTTTCTTTAATTTTAATGTTCACTGACACATCAAATCAAACTTTAAGGCCAGCTTGATCCTCCATCTTCACTCAGGCCTCTTCAGCGACCACCTCAGGAGAAGATTTCTTCTGACAAAAATCTGAGGAAACAGAGGAAACAGACAAGAATAAAAAGATGGTTTTTATGAAAAACGTGCTAACTGTACACAGAACAAACCTAGACCAAACTGACCTGCAGCTCCATCGTAGGTGAAAATTATCTCTTGAGGGAATTCCAGACACTCAGCCAA